TAGTAGTAGTAGTAGTAGTAAGAATCTCAGGATTCTTAGCAGTAGGAGTACTAGTATAGTACTAAGTACTTTTAGCTTAGGTTTTTGTGTCTGCGTCTGTTTCTTTTGGAGCTGGCTCATCGATTCGGCCAGGCGTCTCAGGGGCCTTGGCCTTCCCCTTCCGGCACGATGGCGGGCTGCAGCTTGGGCTCCAACTGGAGTTTGGGTTCCTGCATCGGAAGAAGGTAGGACTGGTAGGAATCTCCACTCCAGCCCTGCTTGACTAGAGTCCAGAGTCTGAGTAGAGAAACATGCTCCATGGTTGTGTCCCTGTCCAGTTGGTGCCTGATTGGTGTTACTAGATTGCCTGGACCTTGTCGCTCTTGAGTTATTGCCGAGCCTCCGCGAGACGTCGGGACTTCGGTTGGCTAGCAAGCCAAGGTGCGAGTGAAACAGCAACCCTCGAACTCCAACCAAGAATGGCAAGACGGGCTTGGGTTGATCGCTCGTAAACCCTCAACATCCTCAAACCGGATCGGAAACCGTACTCGAGGTGACGGGATGGCGACTACTTGGTGTGGGCTTCTTTCGGGCCTGCAGATGATGCATGGCACAGAGACTGCTGGTTTCACTGGTTTTTGGGTGTTTTCTGCAGCATGATTTCCTACGCGACCATTGTCGAGGGCTTGGTGGGCTGAGCCGTTCGGCAGCTTCGACTGGTTGTCAAGACTCTGGTCCGCCTCAGCCGAGGAGTTGCAAGCACGGGGGGCAGCTGTGCAGGGTTGCGCAGCCTGCCGAAGCTGAGATTGGAGGCAGGGGTATGAGTAGGTTCAGCGCTTTGAGAAGGAATTTGTTTTTGCCGCTGCTATCCGTTCGGTTTCTTGATCTATGCCTCTCTGTTCTGCCTCTTCAATCATTGCCTGCACAGGGTTTGAGGACAGGGGTTTGGATCTTGCGCGCGTCTGGCCAAGCCTACTCACGGCCTCTCCAAAAGCCTTCCAGTTAGCAAACTCGACAAGGCGGAGGCCTCGACACCCTAGGAGCCTTAACAGTCCAGGCTTCGGGACTTGAGTGTGGGAGCCTTGAAAGTGTGGACCCCAAACAGCTTCCAGACTCCCGAGAAGTCTTAAATCAAAACGCTTTCTGTTGGGGGACCTTGATTGCGGCTAAGGACGGCCAGAGGCTCATGGCAAGGTGTGCTCCGGCTTTCTCCTGAAAGGAGCTGAGCTCGCTGCAAGCTGAGGCACACGCCGTGCTTCTGAGGCGCCGCTGCTAGAAGGGCATGGGCATGTTGCTTGCGACTCAGAGATCATGTCGAGTGGCGGCGCAAGTTTGTGCTTCGGTAATGAGCGAGATTGCGATGTGGACCGTGAACCCCTCTGTGCAACGGAGTGGGCTGCTAAACTCAGAGAAGCTTCTGTCGCACAGTCACTTGCAGCCATGTGTAGTTTCTGTGGCGGCCGATTTCAGTGGCATCCTGCCGCATCGCTGAAGAGCAATGATTGTGGGAATGCGGGGTATGAAAGCTTGTGTTGCCAGCCCCGCGGCTGCAGCTGCCTGCAAGACGCTCCGTTTGTTGAACCCCGCACGGCCTGGCCCCCGGTGGCCCACTGGTGACCACAAGTACGTTTTGCCCCCCACCCATTGTGCCGTTGTACTTTTTTCATAAGCTCAGAGAGCTCGTGGCTGGATCGAAGGTAGAGTCGAAAGTTGCCGCAGCCGGAAAGTCGCGAAGTGCGGTGACCCGTCAACACAGAATGGCATTTTGCAGGCATCGGTATTTGGTTGCAAGTGAAGGGGTGCTGGATCTTTGAAAGCTCAGCCAGCTCCGCCTTCCTCCAATTTCGCAGAGTTCTGAGATGGGAGCAGCCTAACCGAAGTGCCTCGAGCATTCTCAGACCGAGTCGGCAAAAGATTTCAAGGGCCATGTTCGCATAAGCTCCCCAACAAGCGTAGCTTAGCTGGACCCCCCAACAAGTAGAATGAGCTGCACGGGAAGCCGCTGCCCGGCTGCAAGGATCCTTGTGCAATCTTAAGCCCAGGCGCAGGCTCTCGGATTGTGCTCTTCGTAGTGTTTTGAGAACTTAAAGGGCGACTGCAGACTCCAGAGGTGTCAAGAGGCTTGGCTTTCTAAAGGCCACCTGGCCTTCCTCAGACCGTCCAGGCATCACACATAATGATTGCCACAGTGCAATCAGGATAGATGGCATGCCGGCGAGTCTCCACAGCACGGGCATGGTTTGCGTCTCTGTCTGCAAGCCTTTCGCTGGAATAGGGGCTTAGAAGTCTTGCAGCCTGTTTGGTGCCCGAGGGCATTGCCCTGCACTCCGTAGCGCTAGTTTTTGCGTTTCGTGCGAGAAAGTTGAAAGCTGTGTTTGCATCCGGCAGACTTGCTCGCAGCCAGACCTGCGGGAAGGAGTCTTCTGGCTTGGAGCTGCCGCCGGTCTTAAGTTAATCGTCGGGAGGACTACTTCCTTTGCCAGCCCTCCAGTTTGACCTGTCACGCAGCTAGACTCACTTGTTCGTCGGTGAGGTGGGCATTGGAGCGGTGCAGGAACATCTTGACATGCTGGCATCGCAGAACAAGACAACTGGCTTGAGTCACAAGAGCAACAGCATGCCTTCACCGACGCGCCGAATCCCCAAGACCAAGCTGCTGGACCCATCTTGTCAGAGCTACTTACGGTCCTCTGTGCTTGTTGCCTAGGCTGCGGCAGGCTTTGCAGGGCCTTCAAGCTGCCCAAGCTCGGATTCTGGCCGTGCCCTCGCAGAATGCAGTGCGGCTGCAGGACGACGCCTCTCAGCCGGACGTGCCGGGACTCGGTTGCCTGTGAAACCTTAGCAGTGCTTTTGTGACGGCTGCCGCTGCAGAAGAGCTTGACAGATGAAGGCAGAAGATACAAACAAATTTGTCTGCTACACCATACGAGTGTTCATACCACTGCTGGGCTAGGCACTGTTAGCTGCGGTTCGCTGGTTTGTATTGACAAAACTCATGTGGCTCGACTGCTGGCTGCGACGAAGTTGTATGCTGTCGCTGCAGCCGAAGCCTTCTGCACGAGAGCATAGAGCAAGATTAGAATGACTTCGCACGTGATCTGGGCAAGCACGGCAGCACCTCCGTCAACTTCGCCGCACTCGAAGGCTTTCCTGCAGGGAGAGATCCAACATCTAAATGCCAGAGTCCCTGTGCTCTGAAGTTCGCACCATAAAAGGGCCGAAATCCGCGAGGCCTTTCCTTTCCCAAAGCACCCGCTTGTCTTCTAGCATGGTGCTGGGAATCGTCCAAAGACTTCGCACGGGTAGCGCCTGTGAACCTTTGCTTGGCCAATGCCTATGCTACTTGAGGCTCATTCTGCAAAGCAGATCACGATTGGGAACATCCACCCCAAGCTCTCGAAAGCTTACACTCAACACCCACCAGACACAACTGAATGCATTTGTTCCAGGACAGAACTTGACCCGGGTGCTGCGCTTGGAACAGCAACTTCCAGCCTTTGGCCTACTTGGGGAAGTCAGGATCTGCAGAACCGGCACGGCGATCTGTTCTCGGTGGGAAAGTTTGTAGGTCTGTAAATGCGCAGTTCTCTGCATGCTAGATAGGTTCATGGGGCGAAGGTTTTCGGTCTTCAAGTTCCGTCATAGCTTTCCTTGGATGGCGATGCCAGTGCTGTAGCGCGGGCCGGTTGCAAAAGGACTCGCGGGAATGTGGGAAACAAGCTTATTAGACCTTTAACCACTTGTCCCACTCCTTTCTCAGCGCAGATCATCGGAGATGCCTGCATCTCTGCCATGTATGTCATGTCGGTTACGGATGTGCAATGCATTGACGCGGTCCTGGAGATGGGTTGCAGAGACTCCCCCGTCTCATGATTGCCAACGATCAGATGCCGCGAGAGAACTCCTGGCCTGAGAAGGTTTCAGTACGCCAGATTCAGCTGCATCGAAAAGCACCTTCTCCTGAAGTCCCATACACCCCAAGCCATCATTGAGTTGCGATCTGCGCAGCCGGCCGGCATGCGACCGCAGCATTCCTGCTTCTCCGGCTGCTTTGCAGATGGCGTGGTGTCTTTTGTTTCTGTTCCTAAACCTCAGATCTCATAGAAGGCATTCTCATAAGTTCCATTGCCTTTCGAATCCTGCGGATCCGATCTTCTGAGCTGAAGGCTTGCTGCTTTAATTGCCAGAAGCCTCCACAGTCCAGGGGGCTGAAAGCCGGGCTGTTGAGACACGCGGCGGGCTCCTAGAGATCACTGGAAGTCGCTGGTTGGACTGCACTCTTCTGGAAGGCCGGGCGGTCAACTTCGGTGGCGACATCTGCCCGTGTGATTGTAAATGGCTGAAAATCCGACGAGTTTTTTCTACGTCCATCAAAAGCATCATGCCCACTCTCGGAATTGGGCCTTGAACGGTTTCTCTTGCCGCTCCCAAAATGTGTTTTGAGCCTGGTGGGTGGGATAACAGATGCCTGCACAGTGGCGAGCGAGCTTGTATTGCAAGGCAGCGACGATGCGTGCATCCTGGGTTTAGAGACTAGGCTCGAAAGCAAACGACAGCACCTAAGCCTAAGGTGGTCCATGCTTTGGCTTGTTCCCACAAGGCTCGAAAGCCTGGAACATCCGACCGTGCTGCACATACGAGATCCCACCGCTCCAAAGAAAAAGTGAAAGGTGCTCTGACCAAGGCCCAGCTCCGAACCAGCGAAGTTTGCTTTGAAGGCTTCAGCTTCGGACAGGGAGTTCTGGAGGCTCGCCATCCCTTCCTGGCGTTTCTCGGGTGCCCAGAAGCGATGTGCAAGTGCTAGCTGCAGCTCCCACTTGCCTTGCGTGCCTCGGAAGGCGGACGTGCTGTCGGGAAACATTCCCGCAGCCATCAGGAATGTTCTTGGAGGAAATCAACCGGCATCGACGAGAGGAATTGATATCTTTATGAATTTCCACGGAAGCTCCGTGCTGAGAAAGGTCTTTGCTTGGGGTTTTGTCCGCGGAAAGCCCAGTTTGCGCACAGCTAGCAACTTCGCACATGGTTTGGCCGACATCTGTTCTTTTGGAATGCGTGTTCTCATGGTGTGCCCATGCACATCCAACGAGGTGCAACAAGGTCCAGGTTTGCAAGCCTCGTTTCGCAGCTTGCCGCTCTTGAGTGCTGGCTCCTGGGCCCAAGGTAGGCATCACCTCTGCAAAGCCGCGGGGCTACCGCTCTCTACGTTTAAACAAGGACGTTGCTCCTGCAAGCTGCCTTCGGGGGGAGTTGGGCTGGCAAAAGCAGCCGTAGTAGGAACATGACGGCACTGAAAGCCATCGAAGCAGAGACAGCACGTCTCTTCGGTCCATACCGACCACAACCCTTGCTCTCCTCCCACCGTGACAGACTGAACCCCGGTCAAAGCTTATGAGCCCCAGGTTTGCCCAACTCGCTTGCAGCCCTTCAAGCCGGAATGTGTGGTTTTCGCAGGCCTTCACATGCTGTAGTTGGACCTCCTTCAGCTGCAAGTTAGGCAGAAGCTCCTTCTTCTTGAAGAGGGTTCGAACCCGATTCGGCCCAGAAGTGTACGAGTTTGAGCTGTGAGGTCTGCACGTTCTGGTAAAATTGGCCGAAGATCTCCAAGGCAGAGTGTCAGGCTTTTCACTGCACTTCGTCAACCTCGGCAGCGTTTAAGCAGGGCTTTGGTTTAAGGAAGTTCCGGTGCTCGCAGGGGTGCAGGGTGAGCTGCGGGAGTGGGGAAGCCAATGCCTGCCGGGCCTGCCCGGAGTGGTCGGCCAAGCTCAACAGCTTAAACTCGGCCTTACTCGAGAATTCTTGATTCATTTCGGTACAGGAACCTTGCGGGTCTGCATGGCACCGAAGCCTCAGAGTATTCGCAGCCCTGACACGAGCTCCGGTCACTCTGCAAGAGGATTATGAGGGTAATGCAGTTATGCAGCAAGAAGTTAGACTGTCAAAGGCTGCTAAAGAGCTTTGCAGTGCTGGTGTCGAGCCTCACAAATCTCAACTAGACTTACAGACCCGCAACGCGACCTCGTCGTGACCGATGCATGCAAGCTACAAAATCAAATGTTTGAGGTAGAGCCTCCCGAGCCCTGGCTGGGAGCAGTTTTCCACGTGGCCAGTGCCAGGCCTTAGTCGACAGAGGGGCCTTAGGGTGAAAGTTCATAGCCTAAGAGACAGGATTTGCAAAGAAGACAATTACCAAGCATCCATGGCAATAGGAAATCGACGGTTCACTGGCTGATGACCTTACGTTCTTCACAGCCCAAAGAGCCTCGCCGGCGCCACTTGACATTGTCATGAAATCACCATGACCGAAGACCGTGCATGACCTTCACAAGCTATCCTCCCAATGCCTGTGCCCAAGACGAGCAGCAGTAACGCAAAGGCTCATCAGCATGCACCCGTTGCGGCAGGCTGTCGTGCCGACAGAGAATGCGATGACAGCAAGAGCGCATGTACTCGTACCTTGCTGGGGCAAATGTTCAATCCTGGTTTCGTCTCGGCTTCAACAAAACATCTCTTGCTTCGGATACAGCGGACTTCTCTGCAGCTCACAAACTTCTGCTCTTTGGCTAAGCCTCATTGCTTTCACGAAGCTGGATAGCTCGCTGCGTGTTGTGGGAATTGAAGGTATCTCGCGATACAGTGCTGGACCTAAAACCTTCGGTGAGCTGTGACAGCTAGGAAACTCGGGGCTTTGACTTGGATCTCCAGAACCGGGTTTCCTTGCAGGCGTTGCACTCTGTCGCCTCGCGCTACTCCCTTGGATCTGCAAGCCATTTGTGGCTGCCCCATTTGGTCGCAACCTGCTTCGCGACCATATCTCGATGCTGCTTTGTACGATACTGGGGACTTACTAGGCCAGCTAAGACCGAGCAGTGGCACCAGTCAAGCTGCATTAGCAGCATCGAAGATTGTAATGTAGCCGATTACACTTTTGCAGAGCAAATGCACGTCCTATCCAATCACTAGATTGTCCAGCGCCGCAGCGCTAACCTCGTCAGCAGGGGGTGCTGGACCCGTATGCGAAACCCTAGACTCATAGACCTCTAAGCAGCCATCGCTCTAAACGGATCCTGGCTGTTCATGTCTTTGAGACAGCAAGACGGAAGTGCGATGATGCTTGAGTCGCCGTGTGGCCTATCCAGGCCTATTCATGACCGAAGTTTGACCGACAGAAAGTGCCCAGAAATCCACAAATTCTTGGCTGTTGAGCACAGCCTGCAGAGCCTTGGTTGGGAGCAATGCTTCCTGTCGATGCTAAGGGTGCTGTGTGCTAGCGTAGGATTCCAACTTCATGGTTTAGGCTCAGCAGCTGCAAATGCTGCCAGAAGCATTGGTTCGCAGCCGCAGTGCCTGCTGGCACCGTCATGACTTCTCGGCTCATTACCGATGACACTGCTTCCGAAGAGCACGGACTGCAACTAGGATCTGTGCTGGCGTTCGTGTCTCCGGGTAATGTCCCATTTGCATCAGTCGATCGTGAGCGCCTGGTTCGAATCGTACCAAGGCCAATGCTGCTTTGCACGAGGCTACGACCAGCTGCATTCAAAATACCTTCTACTTTTCACAATGGCGGTACTTGTGGTCACACTTTCAGGCAGCCCCGCAGCACAGCAGCCCCGCCCAAGAAGAAGACAGTTGGAAAGATGGCGGGGTTCACAATGGCATCTTGTCGCATCGGTTGTTTCGGTTAGACATCTGTCAGCGCCCACTGGCACTCTTATGAGATCGCAGGATCCATGATCGATGATCTCTCCTAACCTCCACGAGCTGTCCTCCCACCGCCCCTTAGCCTGCGACCGGCATCAGTCAGGCACGGGCTCATCTCTACGCACCGGTTTGAGACGCAGCCTGTCACGGTGGCTGTTCAGGCATACAGAGTATGCGATGACAGCATGCACGTTTGAACATTGCTGGGGTGTTAGCTCAATTCCACTTTCAACTCGGGTTCAACAACACATCTCGTGCTTCAGATAAGGGTTCCTCTGCAGCATTACAACGTAGCTTGCTTGTTTGCCTGAAGGTGCCGGTTGTGAACGTCAGAGGATCCCAATCTACTGTGGCAAAGATGCAGCGGGTGCGATCAGACATACTGGGAACTACAGGGGGAAGTCCGGCGTGCTGACCTTGATGTCTGGCATCCGCGTTCCGTGCTGGGACAACTTCGGCAGGTTAGCGTCAGAGCAGGTCTGGCACTGTGACACCACACTTCTTTGCCAAGCAGGTCGCTTGAACCAGACCCAACCCTTCATTCCTCAAAGCTGTTCGATAAAGCTTAACCTTTCCTCGTAGCTCTGAAGCCCTAAAGGTAAATAATCGTTAAGCTGCGCTAAAATGGCTTGCTCTCGCCAAGCCGAAGCCTTCATCCTTCGTGCCAAGCTTGCCGACCTTTGCCTAAACACCTCTCATGTCTGGCGACCTCCCGGGGTCACGTGAAGAGGGCTTTACAGGTCGGCGAGGATAAGGGCCTGGCAGAGGCTGTCAAAAATGTTGCGTTGTGATCGTGCAAGGGCACCGGGGGACGCTGACGAATGTCCGCCGGATCGCCTGTGAAGCCGAGCTCAAGTAGGTTCAGGGCTCGAAGCCAAAGTTCGTCTTAGGTGTGGGGCTTACATCTTGTATTCCGTTGCGGCATTGCCACCCTTGCGTGCTTTAGGGTTAAGGTCAGCTTGATCGCACGTATGCCCTGCGAGAATTCTCCCCCAAAGCCCAAAGTTAGGGCCTCCTTGAAGCTGCGCAACAAGTCCGTCGTACAGTGTCTGCATTGTTCTCACTTTGCTTTCTGCGAAGATCTAGCGGGGCACGCAGATACATCCTTATGTCACAACGGCGTCATAACGAGCTCAGGCACTGCAACAAGCGTCGTATTGCGACCGTGGCGGGGTTGACCCGCAACGCTGTTGTAAGAAGCATTGCACTGACCACAATCGTGCCCCATCGCGGTGTTTTCCTTTGTGTTGTCCAATGCGACTGACAGATAGTGACAATGGGATTGCGTCACATCACGTTTCAGCTCCTGTAGCACTGTCTCACGATCTTGAACGGGAACAACGCAAATAGCGCCAACGCAACCTTTGATGCTCCAGATGTGTTGGCGTCACCAGCCAAGTCTATTGCCCCTGAGTGGTAAGCGGGCCCTCAGCTTGATACGACTCTGCATGATCTCGCGGAAGAAACAAGTGGATCTGGCTGACTCGCATGTTGGTATTTATCAACTGCAACTTATGGCTGGAAATTATGCTATGTGCAGTAATTTGTCGGCAGCAACCGTACTGAAAGAAATATAAGCATCGTGTCGTAGAATTACGTGAAACCTTATTATATATGAATTGATATAGCTGCGAAAATCTCTCGATATACCGAGAAAGGAGAGCATTTATTTGCGATAATATTAGCATAATAGATTTGGGGCAGAGAATGGAAAAGATTGAAAGGGCTTCTTAATTACGTGCGAGATTTCTAGATCTCTAGATTGGAGGGAAATAATTTACAGATTCTTTTTAGCACTCTAATATCTTTATGAAAATTAATTATATATTGAATGGGGTCGTGTCCGTAAAATTTTGAATTATGGAGATGGATTTAGAAATTGATATTTCTTATTTTGAGATAAAGGAATTCTTTCGAATCTTTGATTTTATTTCGAAAAAGAAATATTGAGAAAAGAAATATACAATTTAAATTATTTAGAAATTATGTAGCTATTGACCCTAAATTTATAAATTTTAGTTCTATAGTAAAGAATATATGAAATGAGATATTATTAACTGAAAAGAAATATAATTCTATACAATATATATATATATATTGATTTTAACGAAAAAATAATCTGAATTCTCTTGTTTTTTAAAATTCTATAAATTTGAAGAGTTTTTATAATGAATAAATATTATTTCAAAATTTGTAGATTTTAAGAAATATGCGAAAAATTCTCGAATATATTTTAGGAAGATTTTCGTCTAGAGATTGGGAATTCGGAGATTACGAATTGATATGAAAATCATCGAATGATCGATGGCGCCACTAGTAGAAGATGGGTCGTGAAAATTCATCATAAAATATTTTTTCTCCGTATCTTGATTTTGCAGAATCTCTTTCTTCGAGCCTTCGTCGAATCTCCCGCTACGCAGCAGCGACGGGTTATAATTAATCTCTTATTAATAACGATTTTTAGAATAGCAACGAATTTCCGTCACTAATAAAGATATATTAAAATCATAAATAAAATATTCTTGTTCGATTTGAAAGAAACTTTTAGATTTTTGACCAATAAATGGGAATGCAAAAGATCTAATTTGGATCCGGGCGAACAAGAGACTTAAAACCTTATCAAATTGCTATTAGATAAAATCAAATTTTGATTGATATAAAGAATAATTTGAATCCGGGAAAACAATAGATAATAGAATTTCTTCAAGCTGGTGGGAGAGAAAATCAGAATCTTTTTCAATGTGTATGTAAGGGCTGCGAGGTGGAGCCGTCGTTATATCTATAGGGAGGCTATGGAGCGAATAAAAGACAGGTCCCGGAGGGAGAAACTATATGATTTTAAGAAATATGGAAAATATATAGATCCCCGGAGTCCAATTTGCAGCTCTGATCCGACGACGGCAAGCCTTTCTAATAGATTATTGGGGCGATGATTCTTTTAGAAATAAACTAAGATCTATTTAGCGATTATTTGGATGATCTTCGCGCATCTTTGGATCAAGAGAAATAAATATATCGAAAGAGATCAAGATATCGAAATAAATCAAAGATCTCTATATCATTAGATCAGCATTTGATCTTATTTAGAAGAGATCTTTTAAGAATATCAGAAGTCTCAAGAAGACGAATTATATGAAGATCTCTAGAAGATCGACGATATCAATAATAAAGAATATGTTCCATTTCTTATGAAAATAATTCCCAATAATTTGAAATGAAAAGAAATTTATCGGCGGTCTCCTTTCATAATTATTGAATATGAGGTATTATTCCGAGAGAATGATCTGATAATTCTTTTCCTTGAGAATAATAGAAGAAATCGATATCGAGAAAGATCGTTCTAAATATCAAGATTTTCAATAGATTATTGAAATCCAGATCGTTATTTATGATAATTCTTAGAGATCAATATTTTATTAAGATTCAGAAATATATAAGCGAAATAGATAATATGCTGATCTGTCTTCTTCTATATGAGATGATTTTATGAAAAAATGAATATATCTATATAAGATTCGAATAATCTTCCTCCTGATTCTCCTGATTCGAGATCAATATTGGCGATGATTCCGAAGATATTCTTGATATCTATAAAGAGATAGTATGAAGAAAAAAGAGAATTTTCTATAAGATAATCTTTTCGTTTCGTAATTGGAAGGTCTATCGGAGCCAGACGATGATGAAGATAAAAGATATCATCAAAGAAGATAAAATTATATTTCGATTCTTTGAGATAGATTAGAATTTCTGATAAATGGTGGATTTAAGATGTGCTGATTTTTTTAATAATTTAATATATCAATAATTTCGTCGTTATCGGAGAAGATGAGGTGATCGTAGAAGTCATATTCATATTCAAGAAGATATAGGCATGCACAGAATCTCAGAAAGATGATATTTCCTTCATTGAAGACGAAATCAAGAAAAAGAAGAAGAATTTTTTCTCCAAGATATTTATATCAAGAATCTTTTGGATCTTATCAGAATATTGATGGTCACGAAAAGTCCCGAGCTCGATCTAATTGAAGAGAAATTTTCGGATTATATATAATCAATTCTAAAGATGGCGGCCGAGATATAACGATTGCTCGGAAGACATCGATCGAATCTTATATTTATCAATAATTTATAATCGCCAATTCATAATAGATCTTGTATTCGATTATAAAAAAAAAGATTCGGATATCTGGCAAAAGACCTTTATTAGAAAGATTCAATGACGATTTTTTTTCGTCCGATTCCGAATATAATTAATAATATATTTTGATTTTCGCTAATAGAGATCTATCTAATTATTATTATATATATAAATATCGAGATTCGGAATTATTCAAATAATATCATGATATCTTGGCGAGTTACGAGGTTGCTAGCGTTCCAGAATCGAAGATCGAAAAATAAGATATTTTCGACACGAAGAAATAAATAATTCTGCTATATCAAATTCAGGCTCTCTAAACGACCGAAAACTATTCGAATCGATAATTATCTGCTAGCGCCATCATTTTCCTATTCCATCTAATTATATATCTCGTCTTGGTCAGAAGAACGAAGAATCTTTCAATTTTATCACTCCCAATAAACAACATAATTAATAGAAAATCGACGAAAGACAAATCACAAAATCACGCTAAAATTCCTTTATATCCACAAATCGGCGCAATAATCATTCCTTTTATCGGCAAGACAAACGAATCTATATCAAATTTATATAAAATACCTATAGAATTTTGTTCCCACCTCATAAATCGAATATTTTTAAAATAAAATTGAATCTATTCTTAAAAAGCACGAATCTTATCTAGAATATTACGATTATTCTTTTCTAGCTAAAATTATATAGATTCAATTAGAATTTCGAAAATCATGCAAGTTCAATTCATAAATATATATATATCTTTTTTCAGCATTCTAAAGAAATATATTCAATAGATATATAAAAAATATTTTAAAGATCGATTTTCCTAATAATTCCAAACTCCATATCCATTTCAAGAAAATAAATCGAATATTTTATTCAAATTCGTTCCGTAAATTTTTTCACCAAATATCAAATTTATAAAAAAAAAAATTTTTCATTCCTAGAAATTAAAAATCATTAGTCAAAGAATATCACAATAATTTCAATAAAATATATAATTCTTATTGGAAATATAAGTATAGATTTTAAATATAAATATTGTTAAAATAATATTCGACGAATCTTAATTCAATTTATTATTTTTTATTCAATATAAAAAACATATATTTATATATCTAGATTTATTATCCTATCAAACAAAAGTATTTAAATTCTTATTCGTTTTAAAAATTTTAAGAATATTCTTAAGATAAATAATATTTATAATAAAATTCTTCTATGTAATCTTTTCTATATATATACAAATAATGATAATAATATTGAAACCAATAATCTTAAGGCGCTTGCGTGCTAATTATTCATAATAAGATGGTTAATAAAACTATTCTAGTCGTAGGCAGTATATATATTTACACCAAAGCTAGTCAGTCCCGAATTCGACACCCGAATTTAGAAATGCTAGTCCAACAGGCAATCAAGTCCGACATCCACCCACCGGACATCGATGGTTTGTGCTGGCACGCCCAACCCTGGATCTCGAGGCCAACCCCTGCACCCCAAATCCACACACTGAGCTTTAATTGGCTTACATTCGTGGACTGGCGCGGTAAAAGATTCTGGCGATGCCTGGGCTGATACGATTACTTGCATCCCTCTGATGAGCCAGTCCCGCTTACGCTCCCTTTCTGACTGTATTGGATTAGGTGCCATCTAAAACACGAGCACATGTGGTCGATCGTTGCGGCCGTTCGTGTTGGTCCCTGGTTGTGCTGATCGGCTATGTTAGAGCAGAGGGATTTGAAACCGACTGCTGAGCCAATGTCCTCATTCAATAGTGCCATTCAGGCAGGCGGTCTGTTGTTCAAAAATAGAACAGAACTGTCAATTCACGGGACAACATGGTCTCTCATGACAGTTCTTGTGGGCTGTCTCTATGGCTGACATGTGCTCACTCGTCTTTTTGTTGTCATGCAGAAGGCATCACATCTATACATGGACTGGCTGGGTGGACTGCTTGTGCGCCCACGTAGATTCTTCCAGGACGCATTTCCTGATTGCGCATTAAAGCACGCTGTTAATCTTTCAGAAAGGACTAAGCAGGAGGCTTACGGCGGTTGGAAGTGCATCTGAAAATGCTAACGACTCGCCGGACGACCTGTTGAAAGACATCAAGTAGACGATGCTGCCACTCCCCAACCCGCAGCACTCGCCTCTTGGGCGACTTGGCGAAGCAACAGGGGTCAACAGATCTACGTGGCTTGCAAGGCTTGAGCCTTGAAGCCCAACCATCAAGGGCTGCTGGTAAAGTTGCCATTGGCATCAAACTCAGTGTCACCCAGGCCATCGCCACCGAGTTCAAGGGGCTCCCCACCGTTGTCGGTACCGGCTCCACTTCCGCCTAAGCGAGATGAAGCAATTTCTCCCAAGCGGTGGCTTGCCTTGTCGAAAAGGTCGGTGTCTACTCGGTGATGGATGTTCGTTCCATTGGCACTGACATCGACAGTCTTTTTGGTGTTGCCTATTGGCATGAAGACATCGTGACGCCACTGTGTATCCCCAGCACTGATGCCAAATGATCTCTGAGTGTTACCAACAGGCATGTAAACATCATGGCTCAATACATTATCTTTCTTCGTGGGCATAAATACATCGTGATGCCAGTCGATATCCTTCGTCATTGGCATAGCCACATCGTGATGCCAGTTGACTGGCATGTCGACGTCGTGACTCCAAATATTCTCCTTGTTCATTGGCATGGACACATCGTGATGCCAGTCGATGTCTTGGTTCCGCTGAGAGTTGCCGCTCTCTGTTATCGAATCCCCTGAGCTGAAACTGGCATCGTTCTTAGAGTTACCAATCGTCCGAAGGTCAGATCCAATGTGGGAGAGCCCGCTGTTACCCCCTATAACATTTCCGTACACAGTGCTGCCAGTTATCGTGATAGATTGGGGCACTTCCTCGCTGGCCAACCCATCATCCACCACGTTGTTGCCTGGGAACAAAATGCCATTGACTGCGCCCGTGAGCTTCGACAACTCCTCCCACGGTCACATGCTGCAACTCGCAATCTTCTCAGGGCTCTCTTTCGCGGTGCTTCGTACTAAACTGAACATGAACAGGCCCTGGAGAGTATGCTGCTGCTGATGATGACGATTGTGGCGCTGCTGAGCGGATGAAGAAGCTCAGCCACATGCACTCGCTGATAGCGACTGGACGCTGCTGTTCTGACGATAACAGATACTGTTGCTATCGCGGTCATGGTTTCTAGCAGCAAAAAATGCTGTTGCTGTCGCTGTAGAATTCTTGGCGATGTACAACACGTGCCGTGTAGGAACTAAGCATGTGGATCATGCTCAGCAGGAGCGACCCTTGCTGCGCTGACAGCCCAATACATGCAGTTGTTCGCATCAAAGGGCCTGAAAACACGTTAAGCTGAGCAATCACCCCAGACCGAAGAAATGACGACTATGTTTCTCCTCGCCACTAGTAGCACCACGACGTCACTACCACTGGCCTTGTGTCTACTATTGCTACTCGTGTCCGCACGCAACATCACCAAGGCAATGCAAGCCAACACCCCGAAAGCGACTCCTTCTCTCGCTTCACAACGGCACCCAGCAGTTTCTTCAGCTTCGTGAACTGGGACCCGCCACTGCCGGCAAGATTCTTCCTCAGGGCCAGGTCGGCTGAGCATAGGTACTCTTAAGCCTTAGTCTCGTCGCACTTGGTTATTGCAGCGGCCTTCACAAGGCCCCGTCTCAAGCCTTGAAGCGACTTCAGGAGCCTCCTTCCCCCTGGCACCGCCTTGGCGAGGAACAGCCCCCAATACACTTCCGTCCGTGCCTCAACGGTCTAGATTTAGAGAGCTGTATGCCTTGGCTTAAGCCTTTTGCTCTCATCCAAGATCACACAACCTAGACTGAAGACATGCCATATTTTACCATCGGGGCGGGCTTGAACAGGATCTCGGCTTCTGTGTCTTGCCGCTAAAACTTGTGTCTCTGTCGGTCCTCTGCTTGTGCTCGGCGGGCGGCTTGGCCCAGTAGGCTTTCCAGGTTGCCGAGCTTCTGGAGGGTGCGAGCAAAGATGCCTGATCTGGATCTTGAAGACCCGTCACCTGCTCAAATCGAACTCTCTTTGAAAATAGCCTGCGGCACGCTGCGAAACAACCCAGGACCGAGGATCCCCAAGTTCTTGTCGACGATGAAACACAGGAGACGATCCAAAAGTGAATTTTTTTGTTCTGCACCCAAACTGCCCGAGAACCTGAATCCCTAAGTCTGTTACTCACACTGTGGCTTGAAAATATGAGGTCTTCTAGGGATTGAGGGGCATGCGCTTGAACCTCCTGCACAGTCCGGCATTGTTGGATTGTTGAATGCTGGGTGTAAGATTCGAAAGGTCTCGGAGCTTCGGCTTGGAGGTGATGTCCTCTTCGAAGTCTGGCATCTTTAAATCAACCTGCACATCATGGCCCCCAGCCCAGAAAAGCCAGTTGCCTGAGCTTCCTCCACCGATTTGTCCGAGACATGGCTCCTAGCATGCAGTCTGCATCTGGTAGCTACCCCTAGAAACGGACACCTTAGAAAATGTGGAAAAACAAGGACAGCCAGTGACAACACAGCTACAAGGGGGTTGACTTATGTCACAGCAGCATTCAAGAAGTCGCGGCACCGCATGGTCACGCTGCATAAAGTGAAGTCGCGGGAGCGGCCCAGAAGTCATTGCACAGAATGTGTTAATCTAGGGAATCCCCCAGTGCCAAGTACACGCTGCATTGCAAGCCTGTTCGGGCGAAGCCTCAAAACAACAGAAATCAGAAACTGCAACCTTTTCGTAGATCATAGCATGCGAGAACATTGGAATCCCCATTGACACGCGCCCAGCAGGAACACGGAGGGTTTCAAGAAGGGTTTTCACCATTGCAGCCGTAGCAGTTGCATCCAATAGACAAAACGCACGGTAACCAAGCTATTCCCCATGTAGACGCTCTATTTGACAAGCACCTGCTCACGACACACGTCGGTCGAATCATAACACATCAGAACCAGCTAATCCCCATGTAGACGCTCCGAGACTGAGATTGCTGGTTCGAGAGCCTGCAGAGGCCCAAACATGTGGTGAGTGGTGCAATTCGCGTAAGCTGCGCGTAAGGTACGCGCAAGCAGTGCGTAAGCGGCGCCTCCCGCTGTCAACCCAGAACTGCCACGCCCCCATTCGAGTGAAGTCGACTCACACACTACGAAACTGCAAGTACACGCTGGTTTTGAAGGAGCACAGCCCGACATGTGAAATCTGCACGTCGCGCTATGCCAGGCCGGGCCCGGATTGCTTAACCCCAATGCCAATGCAGACAGATGTGTATTTCCTCAACAAGATTGATGCGAGTTAAACCCTCCGCTCGTAGTAGGTGCACGCTCACACGCAACGACTTCTGCAAGACGCTACGACTTAGGTCAACCCCCCTGTGCGGGATCACAGATTCGTCCGGCACCTGACTGCGAGAGGGAGAAGCCATGACATGACACCGCTGGGAACCCACGTTGTATTGGGATTGGCAGCCTACACACCGACTCACGGACACTCACAGACACAAGTCCTTGGCCTCTGTCTTTGCAGGTGCTCATGTCGCGGGCCATGTGTCAGAAGCGAAGTCTCATCAGAGGTGCAGGAAGATGCTGCATGTGGTGCAGGCAGCAGGCAAACAAGCGCGGTCAGCAGCAGTGCCATGACATCTTATCGCACCAAAAGAGAGGGATCTCTGGGAATATCTCGACTCATGAAACAGCGGCTGCAAAGGACCGTGGTAGGGTCACCCTTGCTCGATTCCTGAACCCAAGCTCCCTACGGAGGCGAACATGACGAAACCTGTCTGGAAGGTGCACAATCCTTGTTGGCAGCATCCTTGTGCCTTCCAGCCCGGGCGGGCACAGAAAAACGCTGCTTTCTAGCGCTATATGGTGTCATGTTCCATCTTGTTCTGATCCGTTTCATTAGTCTGCCAGATGCTGCCAACTTGTGCTGTATAGTCGCTATACCGACTCCTCATCACCAGAGACGCTTAGAGATTTTGCACAGGTAAACCCCTCTTCATGTCTCAGGCTTCGGGAGAACAAGAGCCTCAAGCTACTACCTCCACTGAACCCGGACTGACGCCTTTTTGTGGCCTCAAGTGTATCTGACCGTCAGACCTGGTACACCGAGCTCCTGGTGCACCTCATTGGCCCAGGGTTTGGGAACGCAGCAGCATCGAAACAAGGAGCTGCGGAGGGTGTTCCTCCGGACAGCCCTACAACTTGCTCCTTCGTTTGATTTACTAGCGGGGCCGTATTTAGGTCCAAGAGCTCTGATATCCGTGGCACCTGCAGATGTTTAGGAGCCTCTCCTCAAAAACCCTTCATCCCTGAGTACACGACATTTCCAACCTTTAAGCCCGACAATCCCAAACACCCCAACTCCAAAACGCCCGCTCGCTGCCGAACTCCTCCCGTTTAGATTTCAGTCTTAGGGTGAGTTCAAGATTTGGTTTCGCGGCAGAGGATAGGCAATTCGGGTTAGGGTTGAGGGACGGGCCAGGCTCCGACTGTTGATCATGCTCTCGTGTCCTTGTTGAACATCAATTTTGGGGCATGGGGCTGCTAGTTACTGCTGGTTGTTTGGGAGGGGACACTGCAAAAGCCCAACACGCAGGAGAATCCGAACAAGTTTTGGAAACACCAAAATTTTGCTGCGAACTCAGGGCAGTGCCGACCACCCTGCTGTCTCATCGCGCTGTCCCAGGTTATCGCAATCAAAGTCCGGCTCCTGCTTCTGTTGGATGTTGTGTCTGCAATTCTGTGAACGGGGTCATTGCTGACAGTGCGTTCCTATGAAGCTAGTTACAGAGAAGACTGAAGCTTTCCAACGTCCACCTCCACCATTCTCCAACAACCCAGCAAATCATGACTGCAAGCCCTCTCCGCTTCCCAAAACGCTTTCCATTTTCAGGAATTTCCTGGCCTTGCAGGTGCCGGATTTTGGCACGCTTGCCTCCAGCTAAGCTGTGGGCAATGCGACCAGAGGGCGTCTATTTAGTTTAGAGCTTCGCAAGCATTTGGGAGCTTCGAGGGCTCATCGCTCAGACTCGAGATCGCCCTCCACGCTTATCGGAAGCGATCCGTGGGGGACTGGCGCCTGAGTCCTGCGTCCGAAAGCCTGAAAGTCACAAGTCACAAGTACGGCATAGATGACAAGCCTCCCCTCTGAAATTGCAAGACCTCGAGGATTTCGAAACACCCCAGTCTTCGATACCCAATACATGAAGCGATGTGCGTACGCGTGCGTTGTGGTTCCCTTGCGGGTTTGCATGTGGCGTCCGGCGGGGAGAATCCTTCTGATAAGGGAAGCGACCTTCAAACTGGAATCCAAAGACTCAAAACCCTGACCCTAAACCCTAGATTCCAAAGCCCCGAGGCTGTGCACGACATCCTCAGCTCCTATGAAGTTCAGCTGAACTGCGAAGAAGGTACACAACAGGCGACTGGCAAGCTTTAGCACTCTTTTCCGCAGTACTACTACTAGGGAGGACCAAAGTGAAACAACGCGCACATCCCCCACCTGCCTTGATGACCATGGAGAGCAGGCTTTGGTCATGGCGATTCTCTTTCCGCTTGTGCCAGGGACCATCGAGTGCTGTATTCCTTCGAGCTGTTGGATCTCTTTTGGGTTTGGGGACCGTGCGCTTTTGGTGCTTGCGGGATTCTTAACGTGCGGCGGTGCGATGGTCGATCTGGACATGTGCAAGTCCGAAGCTTCGACCGTACGAACATACACGGCCAGATGTACCCAGGCCGTCAAACACAAGTATGTTTTAGAGAAGCGACACGCCTATCTCTGGTGAATGGGGAAATACAGAGAATGTCTCTTGTCGTCCAAGCTCTGGTTGCTCCAGCTGACAACCCGAGCCACACTTGTAATCTTCAAGGATCATTGCGCATAAAATCGTTCCAGCTTAGGTTGCAGTTTCTGATGCCATCGATTTAAGTCCTCAGCCCTCAGTCCCAAACGACGCTCAGGTCCAATCGACCCACCTGAAGGCCCGCAAACTTCAGCTGAGGTCTTTGTGCCTGGAGGGTTCATCCGACACCAGATGGAAGTCCTGTGGCTCGAGCTTTGATTTAGCCAGGGCGGTAAGGGTTTAGTCATGTTAGTTCAGAGCCTAAGGATCAAGAGGGTGTAGAGCATGGAGCTTATGTACAAAGCACCCATGCGGCTAGGCACAAGTACCTTCTCTGTGGAGGTGCTTTAGCAAGCTTTTGGCAAGCTTGCGCATTTTTTGCCAGAAACCTCATGGCATTGAAGCAGCACGAGCATAATCGCCCGCTATAAACGAATATACTGAGACACCTCACGGTTGGAGATTCTCTCACTTCAAACTGACGGGCGGGCAAAGTGGCACACATAATGTCATCATGGGAGAGGCTTGAAGCCTTGATTGCCACGACAAGGTCCAAAATCAAGATCGTCAAAGCCGAAGCTTTTAGCCTCAAACCAAATCCCAACAGCAAGGCCAAACGAAGCGTGTTGCACGGGATGTTGCATCCAAGCTACACAGCTCTAATCTTAAGAGGGTCTTCACAGTGTTTTGCAGATTTTCCAACAGGGCTTTTAAAAAATTGGGGCTTGGTCGGGTCCAGGCCTTTAGCTTACAATGTACAACTTTGCGACTCAGATCAGTGCTGAAACTGCACATGCCATGAAATAACCTGAAACTCTTGAATGCCAGGATCCTGCAGGAGCATCTCCCAAGTCCGCAGCAAACGTGAGGTTCGTGCGTTCAGCCGCATCAAGTAAGCCTGGCCGTTGGGCCGTGCTGTTCTAGTGAGGTGTCTCTTCGAGCGCTTTGGACAGGAAGAATGCTTCCGACAGAAAGTGCACAGATCCAGTCTCTGCACCCCTATACTCTCTTACATGATGTCCAACAAAATCCCAAACTCCAGGAGACATGAACATATTCCCTGCGCATCTTCGCTGTACGACACCATGCTGCAACCATCGCCACTGCTGCTTACTCATCCTCCTTCTCATTCCAATACTAGTACCAGGGCTTGCAGGAACCCTAGCACGATGACAAACACAACTATTGTCCGTCGTCACCGCCGTCGTGGCAGTTGTAGCAGTTGTGGTGGTGAAAGTGTTGGCTCGACTTTCACTGCGACAATGATGACGACGAGAGCAGCGATACGACCACTGCTGAAAAGACGACGGGTAAAACGTACGACAGAACCACGCGGATGACGAATGACAATAGTTTTGGGCATAATTGCCAATGCACAACACAGTACTAGTTCAACAGCGAAGACCCCAGATGGCAGGGAAACATCAGCACGGTTCATGGCTTCGGACATAAATGTTTGTTAAACGTCAACAAATTGGCTTTTTCTCTTTGGTTTGTTTCCAAGTAGTTGGGGCGCGCAGCGCTGTTTTAGGCTTAGGCTTGCCAACGTGGGAATTGCACACAGTCCAGTCTCTTTTGAGCGTTTTGGCTATTGTCCTCAAATACCGGCGCGCTCCCTATTTTCAAACACACTAACCCTTTTCCAACAGTTCGCTCCTTGCTTCTCCAATACTCTATTCCCTCTTGAAAGGTTTGCTCCGTGTTCCTCAAACACTCTAATCCTTTCGAACGCTTTGCTGGCTGTGTCTCAAATACTCTAGTCTGTCTCGAGCTGCGTGCGCCTTGATTTTCATACACTCTAGTCCTGTTCGAGCGGTTTGCTCCCTGTTTCGCAGATACTCTAGGTCCTTTTTGCGCGGTTTGCTCACTGTTTCTCAACTCGTCTAGCCCCTCTCGAGCGGCTTGCTCACTCTTTCCCAAACAGACTCTTTCGAGCGGTTTGCTTCCTGTTTCTCAACTACTCTACTGTGGTCACTTTCGAGCGGTTCTCTCCCTGTTTCTAAAATACTTTTGTCCCTTTCGAAGGTTTCGCTGTCTGACTCACAAATACAATGATCCCTTTCGATCGGTCTGTTTCCTTTTTCTGACATAATCTAGCCCATTTCGAGCAATTTGCTCCCTGTCTCGCAAGTACTCTACTTTTCAGGAGCGGGTTGTTCTCTGTTTCTCAAATGCTCTAGTCCCTTTCGAGCTGCTTACTCCCTATTTCTCAAATACTGCAGTCTCTTTCGGGCGGTCTGCCCTTTGTTGTCAAATACTTTGGTTCCTTTCGAACGGTTTGCTCCCTGTTTCTCGCATACCCTAATCCTCTTCGAGCGGTTTGCTCCTTGTTTCTCATATACTCTAGTCCTTTTGTAATCCCTTTGGAGCGGCTTGCTCCCTGTCTTCAAACACTCTAGCCCCTTTTGAGCAGCTTGCCCACTGATTCTCAGATTCTCTCGCCCCTTTTGCGCGGTTCTCTCACTGATTCAAATTTTCTGGAATCCATTCCGGGAGGTTTGCTCCCTGCTTCTGAGGCACTCCTGTCCTTTTGAAGCAGTTTGCTCTTTGATTCTCAACCACCCCCGTCCTTTTCGAGTGGCTTGCTCCTTCTTTCTCAAAGGGGCTGGTCCGTTTCGAGAGGTTAGCTCTCTGTTTCTGAACCACTCTGCTCTGGTCCCTTTCGGGCAGTTCTCTCACTGGTTCTCAAGTACTCTAATCCCTTTCGACCGGTTTACCCTCCGTTTCTAAAATACTCTACTCGAGTGGTTGGCTCCTTTTTGGCTAATTGTGCCTCATATGCTCCAGTTCGCTTTGAGCGGTTTGCCTCCTGTTTCTCAAATGCTCTAGTCCCTTTCGAACGGTTTGCTCGCTGTTTCTCAAACGCTCTTGTCCCTATCGAACAGTTTGTTTCTTGTTTCTCAACCACGACCGTTCGGGCGGTCTGCTATTTGTTTGTCAAACATTCCAGTTCCTTTCGAACGCATTGCTCCCTGCTTCTCGCATACCCTAGTCCCCTTCGAGCGGTTTGCTGGTTGGCTTGTTGTCATATACTGTCATATACTACAATCTCTTTCGAACGGTTTGCTTTTCTGTATACCGGTTTGCCTTCCGTTTCTCGAACACTCTAACCCTTTCGGAGCGGTTTGCTCCCTTTTTCTCAGATACTCTATTCCCTTTTCGAGCGGCTTGCTCCCTGCTTCTTAAATACTCTAGTCCTTCCCGAACAATTTGCTTAATGTTGATGCTCAAATACCCCAGTCCTTTGCTCCCTGCTTTTCAAACACTCTAGTCCTTTTCCAATGCTTCGTTCTTTCTTTGTCAAATACCCTAGTCCCTTTCGAGCGCGTTGCTCCCTGTTTCACAAACAATCTAATCTTTTTCAGGCGGTGTGTTCCGTTTTTCTCAAATACCCTAGTCCCTTTCGAGCGACTTGCTTGTTGTTTTTCAAAAACTCTAATCCATTTCGAACGGCTTGCTCCTTTTCCTAGCGGTCACTACCTGTTTCTAAGATACTCTAGTCCCTTTCGAGCGGCTTGCTCCTGTTTCTCAAATGCTCCAGCCTTTTGGGCCCTTGGCTCCCTGTTTCTCAAATACTCGAATCTCTTTCGAGCGGTTTTTGCGCCCTGTTTCTTAAATACGCTGTGAGTGGTACCAGCTCCCTGCTGTTTCTCAGACGTTTTGCTCCTTGTTTCGCAAACATTCCAGTCCTGTTCGAACGGTTTGCTCCCTGTTTTTCAAGCGCTCTAGTTCCTTTCGAGGGGTTTGCGCCTCGTTTCTCAAAAGCCGTAATCCCTTTCGAGCGGTCCGCCACTTTTTTCTCAAATCCTCCTGTCCTTCTCGAATGTTTGCTCCCGGTGTCGCCAACACTGCAGCCCCGTTCGGGCGGTTAGTTTTTTGTTCCTCAAATACGCAATCCCATTCGATCGGTTTGCTCCATGTTTCTGCTCACTGCTTCTCGAAAACTAGTCTCTTTCGAGCGGCGTGCTCCCTGTTTCACAAATATTCAAGTCCGTTTCGAGCGGTTTGCTCCCTGTTTATCAAAGACAGATTTGTTTTGGAGTGGTTTGTTCTTTGCTTCTCATATACTCTAGTCTCCAGTCCTGCTCGAGCGGCTTGCTTCTGATTTCCCATGTATTTTGGTACTCTTGGAGCAGGTTGATCCGCGTGTATCAAACACTGCAATCCTTTTCGGGCGGCTTGCTCAGTTGGCTCCCTGTTTCTCTAAAATATTCAGTCCTTTTCGATCGGTTCGCCCACTGTTTCTCAATAAACAATCTAATCCCTTTGGAAGCGGTTTCTCCCTGTTTCGAAAACACGCTAGTCCCTTTCGGCGGGTTTGCTCAGTGTTTCTCACACACTCTAAACTCCCCCCTAGCGCTTTGCTCCCTTTGTCTTAAATACTCTATTTTCCTTTCGAGCGGTTGTGCGCTCGTGCGGCTTGCTCCATGAACATGGCCACAATCATCGTCGCTGTCTAGGGCTAGGGTCTGGATCTACGTGTCTCGCGTGCCGTGCCTAGACCCTTCGGGGTTATATTGCGAGCGCGTGCAAATCTTCGTGCAAATCAAAAGCAGCCCGAAAACCAAAAACAGAACGGACCTGAAAAACTGCCATGGCTGCGCCTCGCTTCGTGACCTCGCGGCCTTGACCTCGGCCCCTCGGCCTGGCCTCGCAAAGTCGCAACCTCACTGCCTCGTGTCCTGACTTGGCGGCCTAACCTCACCTTCACCTCGCGGCCTCGTCCACGTCGCAACCTCGCGCACCTCGCGGCTATCCCTCGCGCCTTCACCCGCACTTCTCGCTGTCTCGCGTCCTCACTTGGCGGCCTCGCACCCTCATCTCGCGACGTTGCACGCCGCCTGAGCTCGCGGCCTCGCCTCGCGCCCTCGCGGCCCCGCGCCCTGACCTTGCGGCCCTGGCTTATTGTCAGTTGTTTTTTCTTTTGCACTTTTGGCGGGTCCAGGACCGTTTTTTGGACCCGGCCAGTGCACTTGTAGCTGCTGTTGGCTAGCTTTCAGAGCCCGAATTCCGTCCCTGAAAATTTTCAAACATACAATAAGGTTTGCTAATTTTTCTGTAGCAACTTGGCGTGCCCAACTTGTTGGCTAGCTTTCAAGCCGGATATCAGTCCCCAAAGTTCTCCCAAAAAATCGACTAAGTTTGGTTGATTTTTCTGTTGTCATTTGGGCGGGTCCAGGAGCGTTTTTTGGACCCGGCCGCCGCACTTGTTGCTCCCAAAACTCGCCCAAAAATCAACTAAATTCTGTTGGTTTTTTGTTGGCAATTTGGGCGGTCCGGAAGGGTTTTTTGGACCGGCCGCGCAAGCCGACTATTCACGCCGAATGCACGCCGGTGCGGCCCCCTTCACCAGCGGCGGACACGGCGCCTCACCTGCATGCCGCTGCACCCCCTTCGCCGGCACGCCTGCATGCAACCCCCTTCGCCGGCACCGGACACGGCGTGCCCCGCCTGCATGCCGCTGCACCCGCTGCGACTGCAGTGGACACAGAGGGCTCCTTCTTTAGCTAGAACCCCTAATGGCTAAAGCTTTCTGGGGAAAGGCGAAGTTGCAAGGACAGCTTCCCTTTCTCTGCCTGGGCTTTTGGCTGCTGCGTGAGGCCGTAGTGCGGGTTGTCCCAGGTCGTGTTGAAACGCTCAAAGATTTCGCCTTTCGTCCAGACCTCATGGCTGAACAGCTGAACACGACAGGCTTCTTTTGCGATTTCACGCATTGTGCACCGCCTAAACCCAAACACAGCACCAGTGTGATGTCTTCTACAAGTCGAGGTTGCTTGGGCCTGCAATGACTTTGCAAGACGTACTCAACTACCAAGGCGACAAGCTTCATCACAACGTTTACCAGGTGACCATCGACTGCATAGACTGACTGTATGGAATAACGACATGACTCGACCGCCGCCTAACCCAATATTTCTACCCTTAAGTGTCACTTCGACCTTCAACACGGAGTTCCGGTATTGGGGCCAGGATATCTAACTCCCAACAACTCTCTCAGAAGCTGGGTACGTGCTCGCAGTGCGGCTGCTTCCGGATGACGACATCCTGCGGGAATGTCCCATGGAACACAGTGAAGAATGTTTACCTTTCAGAGTCCGTTCCTTGTGGCAGGCCGGGGGAGACGCAGATACAACCGAGACTGTGTTGCAGGTTCTGAATGAGAGGCGCAGCAATCTCCAACGACTTCTGACCCCTTATATAAGCACGGCTCTCCTCGCCCACCCTCGATCCGGACAATCCATTCGGGGCTTTGGGTTCAGAGCATAAAGCTGACGGAGCCCACGCAAATGTCACTCTCTCAGAACTTGTTCATTAATGATCACTCTTTGGCTGGATTTTGAAACCCTGCTCTGATTCTGCCCTTGTCTTGCTCACCTAAACATTTCCCAAGTTTTGTGCCTACGAGTACAGCCTTTGCCACGGTATCCGACCTAGAAAACAGACGAGTTCAGGCAATCTGAAGCTCGTCAGATCTTGGCAAGATAGGCTGCCAAAGCGCGTCCACACCATGCCACCAAGCTCTGAGAACAAGGCCGCAACTAGACTTGGGGCAAAGCACTTATCTCACTTTACGTCGACGGCAAATCAGTCCGCGGCTGCTGGCCGCTGGCCCGAGAGGCATCCAGAAATCTCTGTCACCGCAAAGCAGCAAGCGCTCACCCGGCCAGTGGCGTATGTTGTGCGGCGATAGGCGGCTGTGGCAACCCTCCGACGAGATGTTCGCAAGCCGATGTCTACACCATGAACCAAATTGAAGCACAGAGGCATTATGGAACAGGCGATCTCGGCCGATGCTGCGATTTTCCACATAGACTGGCGTCAGGCTAAAAATCCTGGTTGTAAGTGGTAGCTTTCCCTTGCATCATTGCGCAATGCACGCAACTGCCTGTCCGCATGGGATGCCTGCGGCCTGCAAGCTGCCTGTCTGCCCTTGGCGGTGGCTTGTTGCTCAGCTGCCATGCGCCTGGACCGCATACGCATTAATTTATCACCACAAAGTGACAACAAGGCAGCTCCGCAGCAAGGCAAGCTGCAGCTCTCATGTCCCGGAGGGGGGGGGCGAGACTCCAGCAATCACACGTGCAGAACACAATTATCTTGACAACACGATGTCTACACAAAACGGCCTGAAGAAAAAGATGCATGGCTGAACAGCTGTCCCAGCCACTACGAGTACTGCAGGAGAAGTGCAGCCCGCTGAGATACCAGGCTTCCCTTCCAGCAGTCCGCATGATGCCTGTCCACATGGGACACCTGCGGCCGGCACTGTGTCCGGCACTGTTTCTGTCTGCCCCCAGCGGACGTGTTGGCACATTGCTCCACTGCCATTCGCCTCGACCGCACGTGCAGTCGCCAGAAAGGCATCCAGCAACCTGCGTGACAACAAGGCAGCCCCATACTCGGCGAAGCTGTGTGTAGGAGGCAAAATGCAGCTCTCGTCTCCTTTGGGTAGGGCCAGCAGTCCAGCAATCACAACGTCCGGAGTTGCTGACATGTCTGCTGTATGCATGATTGTGACCATGTGCTTCACTTGGACAAGCTTTGCCACTATGCCCTACTTCTGCTAATTACTAATTCTTCCACCGAGCCCTACGCGAAACACTGTTTTAGGCGCAGTCTAGTCTCACAAGCCCTGCGGCCAACCCGAGACGCCGAGACGAAGAAAGTCGAAAGGGTCCTCTGTTGTTTCCTCTCGCATTTTCAAGAGGTGGCCCAACTCACCCAAAGCATCTGTATCCACCTTGGCACCGTGTCAATACGCAAGAGATTAGGCCGGGTCAAAAGGGGTTAAGAACAAGTGCAGTGTAGCCTCTTCCAACGGGGCGGGGTGGGGCCATGAAACTGACCACAACGCATCCTCAGCCCGAGCTGCAACAACTGGTCTAAATCGCTAGAAACACGAAGACGTGCTCAAGCAAAATGACCCCATAAGACATCTCGATGTCTCTGGCATCCAGATCCTGGATTCCCCAGCTTCCGAAAAGTTCCTCATACTCGATATCTGATCCTTCGACTGGATCCTTAGCGGACCGCTTCACACACTAGCCGCAGGTCCTTGGTGACAGCCAAGCGGCATAGAGGAGATCGTCGCCCAGCTGCATTTCCTGAGCGCTTTGGAGATGAAGGCAGGGCCTGTATGTGAACAGGAGCCAGAGCAGACACCCCCTCCCACGCCAGGGCACTCCCTTGTCGAGAAGCATCTTGGACAGCGCTGCCTGGCTGTCAGAGATCCGTCTGCACCATTGGCCGAGTTCGACTTGGGCCTCAAACCCAGATTGCACTTCGGGGACACGTATGGATGCCCCAAGACAAAATTAACCCTGAACCCGTACCTGAAGCCAAAAGGCCGAAGCCTAAGCTCTACCCCTCTCCCTCCCCTCTCCATTTCTCCCCAAACTCGGCCTTCCAGAACCAGTAGCCTCTGCCCCGGACATTCGACCTTCGATTCTACAAGTCTCAGGCTTCTTCTTCGTTTCAGATGCCCAGAAGCTTTCGGTAGGCTCGAAGAGTGGGTGAAAACGTCAAAGGGAGCTGCAAAGCCTTGCCAGCGTCGACTCAGAGTGTAGCGATGACAGTTCTTGGGGCCATGGCCGAGAAGCGAAGGGTCGTCTTTTCTGCAACTATTTCTTGCTCCCCAAAGCAAGAAGACCGGCATGCTCAAAATCAGCGCTACCCACTGCCGCGGAGGAACTGTGGGCAACGGGAAAGCCTTACAGGTGATTTCTTCGAACGCATGGCGATCGTACGGAGAAAGGCGCGGCCGTTGGTCTGAATGTAAGCGAAACAGCCACAGCCGCACAAATGCTCCCGGTGCAACCAACCCACAGCCCCTTCAGCCGCACAGTCGTCACACCTGAGGCCCCGGGCGACACATGCCTTTGCCAGCGCGGATCGTTCATGAGCTCGTCGGGCAATCTAGCGATCGGCCGGGGATCCAGGTTTCGAACAAATGCGATCTCGAAGCTGCCTTGGGTGTTTTCTGGGTGGCAAAGATCTTTGGGGTTGCTGGTCTGGTATGCTTGCGTACATCCCGGACGTAGGGCTTCATGATTCTAGGATGTGGGGTTGGAGAGCCACCATCGATTCTGTGGAATTTTAAGACTGGCAGTCGCTCAAGGCTTCGAGGTTTGAGCTTTCAAGGCTTCAGCACCGGTGTATTAAGGCAGTTTAGCTGCACGCAAGGCATGTGCGGTCCAATGAAGACTACGACTTGAAAGTAGCGAAAGGCTCTCTACATTCTAGGGGTTCGGTCCTCACGAACAACTGATCTAGATCGAGGGTCGAGGGCAGATGGAAGGTGATTTTTTCAGACCGCGAGGCAATTCCAATGAACCAATTTGCAAAGCTCTCAAACTCTAATCACCTCTGGCTGCAGGCACAGGCATCTGGCAACTTCGCTTTATACTCTTTCATCCAAACGTTTTGCAGCAAAATAAGTATGCCATTGACAACAAAGCATAGAGTTCGCGGTCGTTGCAAGGTACCTAAATCCGAAATGCAGGGCGCCTGTCGTAGATATGAGCAGCATCAATCTGCGTGTAGTTGCCGGCAATACGCCGCAAAGTCTCGATTGCCTCACAAAGGCCGCAGCAAGCTGAAAAACGGTCCAGACGCAGGAAGTACGTCGCTTCTTGTTTAAAACGATCTTTGTGGCAAGCGGTTTGCCAATAGCTCGTGTACCGATTCAAGTCTTGAGACAAGCTCGGCTAGCTCAAGTGCTACTGAGTACTGAGACTCTGTCCTGCGAATTTGTGGCTTCGGATGCTTGTGGTGGAAATCCCAAGCAACTCTAGCTGACTCAAGCTCTGACACTCAACATGGTTCTTAAATTGACCATCTGTTGCAGGGTTTGATGGACTGAAGCTTCCTTGGAGCCGAAGTTTGTTGTCCAACTTGCCCCGTGCCTGTCGGAGGATCCTACGACTACCGGGGTCAGAAATGCGTTCTGAATGCCCCAGCAATGGCAAGGATCCCAAAACTTTTCCACACGAGCGTCCCATTGCGGTGCCTTTGAAGCTCCGCCGCAGCCATCGGAGATCGGGTCCTCTTAGAAGCTGCGGGCAAGTGAAGTAGACAATAAATATGTTGGAGATTCCATGGGCCTTGATGCCGTCGTACCCCCCTGCCCGGAGAACATCGATGCCAGGTGCTTCAACTGGGAGTCTTGCACAAGAAATGTTATGACAGGACGGATTTGCTGCAAACTGCCGAAGTTGCGACGTCACCACATGTTCGCCGCCTAGTTCAAATCTGTATATCCGAATGCCTTGACCTAAAGCCCGGACCCTGTGCAAAACGCCAGAAGCCCATGACTGTGTCCTGAGAGCAACTCCGATGGCTGAGGAGGTGCAGCTTCCGCGGTCTTGCCTGCAAGGCCTGAGAACCAGCAGGGTCACGTGGCACTGTTCTACGGTCCAGCTTAGGATGCTTCTAATACGACGAGACAAAACAAACGTAGAGAATTTCAGAAGAAGGAGCAAACCGCCCGAAAGAGACTAGAGAGTTTCGAAAGAGACTACAGAGTTTGAAAACAAGTAGCAAACCGCTCGAAGGTAACTAGAGCATCTCAGAAGAAAAAGCACACCGCTCAAAAGAGACTACAAAAAAGTCAGAACAAGGAGCACATCGCTCGAAAGGAACTAATTAGATAGCTTCAGCAGAAGTAGCAAACCGCTCGCTAGAGGGTAGAGAATTTTGGAAGAGACTAGAAAGTTTGAAAACAAGGGACAAACCGCTCGAAAGGAACTAGAGTAACTAGAGAAATTCAAAACAAGGAGCAAACCTCTCGAAAGAGACTAGAGAATATCGAAAAATTCACTAGAGAATGGAAGAAATGCAAGCCGCTCGAAAAGAACTAGAGAATTTCAGGACAAGGGGCAACCCGTTTGAATGAGACTAGAGAAATTGAAACAAGGAGCAAACCGATTTCAGAAGAAGGGGCAAACCGTTTGAATGAGACTAGAGAAAATGAAACAAGGAGCAAACCGCTCGAAAAGAACTAGATAATTCCAGAAGAAGGGGCAAACCGTTGGAAAGAGACTAGAGAATTTCAAAAAAAGGATTAGAGAAGTGGAAAACAAGGGGCAAACCGCTCGAAAGGAACTATAGAGAGTTTCAGAGGAAGGAGCAAGCCGCTCAAAGAGACTAGAGACTTCCGAAAGAGACTAGAGAATTTGAGAACAAGGAGCAAACCACTCGAAAGGAACTAGAGAATCTCAGAAGAAGGAGCAAAGACTAAAGACTTTGTAAACAAGGAGCAAACCGCTCGAAAGGAACTAGAGAATTGCAGAACAAGACGCAAACCGCTTGAAAGTGACTTGAGAGTTTGAAAACACGGAGCAGGCCGCTCGAAAGGAACTAGAGAGTTTCAGAACAAGCAGCAAACCGCTCGAACAAAGCAGAGAAATTGAACACAAGGAGCAAACTGCTGGAAAAGAACTACAGAGTTTCAGAAGAAGGAGCAAGCCGATCGAAAGAGACTGGAGAATTTCGAAAGAGGCTAGAGAGTTTGAAAACAAGAAGCATGCCGCTCGAAAGCAACTAGAGAATTTCAGAAGAAAGAGCAAGCCGCTCGAAAGAGACTAGCGCATTTCGAAAGAGACTAGGGGAAATGAGGAAAAGGAGCAAACCGCTCTGAAGGAGCAAACCGGCCGAAAGAGACTAGAGAGTTTCGAAAGAGACTAGAGAGTTTGAAAACAAGGAGCAAGCTGCTCGAAAGGAACTAGAGAATCTCAGAAGAAGGAGCAAACCGCTCGAAAGAGACTAGAGAGTTCCGTGGGCAGGGCCTCAGGATGCCTAAAGCTTTGTGGAGCCCCAGGAAGGTTTAGGGTTGGCTTTAGGGTCTCGGGGTGGTTTCGGGTTAGGGGGTTGAGAATTTAGGGTTTAGGGTCTCGGGTTTGGGAGTGTCATACTGTCATGCGGTCCTGAATCTCGGATCACTTGCTGGACGAAGACTTGGGCTCTCTGGATATGTCAGCTTGCAGGGCTTGGGCACTACGCAAAGAGCAAACACACAAGGAAGCAATGGCAGTAGAAACATGTAAGCGTGGATGCAGATGTACATACGTATAGATGTTATGCGTTAAGTGGCATTATATCATTACAATAGATGACATAAACGTAGGGTGCTTGGACCCTGTGGGCCGGGTTGGCATACCCACCGGCCGGCCCGTTGTCGGCCGGGAGGGGGGGCCGGGGGCACATTTTGTGGCGTGCCGAATACCTTAAAGCCCCCCTTCAATTCGCTGCAACGTTCCTGCGGGGCCGGGGCTGGACCATGATCCAGGTGGCCCTGAACTCTCTGGAGTCTACATCATGACAGAAGGAACTTGAATCCACAATCTGATTTGGCCTGCAACAGAGTTCCCGGACAAAGATCTTCATGGAGTTGATGTACCTCCATTACAACCAGGCCTTCGTAGGTGTCCATTACAACCCGACAACTCTATGGAAACTCCATTGAGTTGTCGGGTTGTGATGGACACCTACGAAGGCCTGTTACACCTAAGCTTCTACAGCCACAGCCCGAAGCTCAAATGCCATCCTGTCAGACTGGTTGGCCCCACGACTTAGCGCTACGCAAAAGCGACGCAACCCCTCAATGAGAACTCCTGAAAGGAGGTCATTCTACACGACCCTCGTCCAGGGCTCACGCCGGGTGCGTGCTTGCTGCGGACCTTGGAGCGATCGCAACGGAGGCTTTTTGGGATCTTCTCAGCATTCTAAGGCCTGAAGTTCAGTTGTGCGTGAATTTCCACAAGGAGAAACAAGGCTTTAGCTTCATAGCCTTAGCTTTTCGCTTCCAGCCATGGCGGACAGAAGGGGTGGAGCTGCTTGCTGCCAACTCGTAGTAATGTCGACCTGAGGCACCGTCCCAAATCACAGCTCCCGATGCTTTATTGTCTCAATGACACCACGAGAAACTCGCAAGCCCTCGAGTGCAGAATCTCTGCCGCAGGTCCCAACAACAAAACCTCAACATTCCCCCTCACAGCATCAGGAATCCGACGAGTGCCTCACCAATGATTCAGAAGTCCCTTCCCGTGCCTAGCATCCCCTTGTGGCCCCGGTATACGCATTAGTTCACATAATTTACCACAAAATGGTAGGCCCATACATCACCTGCTTCGGCCCTATTTATGGTATAGGTCCGAGTAGCTGCACTAAAGAGGCATGGTCGTTTTCCGTCGCCTTGCGAGCGGAGATGTCAAGGCCCCACATTAGGGCCGTTTTCGGGCCTCCAGGCTCAGAGTTTTGATTTTGCGGGTGCGTTTTTTTGGGAGACTTTGGGATAGGACGACCGCGGCCAGAATGGTCTCAGCCTGAGCTCGAAACGCGAGGGCCTCAAATGTCGAGTTTCATTGGGAGTTTGCCCGCACAAGCTGCAGAGGCTTTCAGGGCTCCTGGTTTCAGGGCAAGTCTCAGGGTTTTAGCTCGGAGGCTTTGGGAATCCAACTCATCAATTTCCGAATCATCGAAAGAAGAGAAGAGCCCAATTCGCCAAATCCGAAATCTGATAACAGGCAGCCTGTGTCCACACCCGAGCACAAACGGGATTCATAATGCAAAGTCCAGCTCAGCAGCTCAGACCTTTTTCTGCAAACCAACACACTGTGCACCAGAATCCGACATCGGGTCACCAGAAGTGAATTCCCCAAATGCCCCACCTACACTCAAGCCGCCACCCGAAACCCTAAACCCAACGAGCAAACCCCACTCCTGCGGCACTGCAAGAGCCCCCGGCAAGCCGGTCTCGCATCCTTAATTCCAACGGGCTTTATGAGATTTTGTAGGGTGTCATAAGCCAGAGCCCCTAAACCCTCCACCTGCCTCCAGCGCTCCAGCCACATGGCAGACGGCCACGAGGACAAGCTTCGGTATCATGGCATCGCGGGAGCAGAGGAATGAGGGCCTCAGGTCTAAGGCCCAGGTTTGTACTTTCAAGTTACTGTGGGGTTCCGGGATCACGGTCTTCCAGGTTCTGGGGTTTTCTCCACCTCCGTGACACCTTCTTCTTCTCTTGCGATATGGAGCTTCAAAGTTTTGTTGAAACTCAAGACTAGCTCCATAAACTCTGCTTGGTTCCACGGAACGGCAGGATTTACGAACCCATGCCTCTCACTCCTCCCCCTGCAAAAAAGCTGCGAGAGCATTGTGCCGCATGTCTCAGGAGGGCTTCGGGGCTTCAGTGCTTCGATGCCCCGAGCTCTGGGGTAATTTTAGCTGTGTGGTTTTAGAACCCAGCGGGATTGCCACAGTCGTCGGATCTGGGCTTGCATGATGCAGTTGAAGATGCAGGTACCAGGCTGGCCCTTATTGCATGGAACAGGACAATAGCAGTTTGACACCTTGTGTTCACGCTCCTGGTGCAAGGACGGTGCTCAGGTCTCGACTACTATACTGTCCCCAAACGAACACAGGGATTTGCGGGGCTTCGGGATGTTTCGGGCTCGGGCTTGAATGCAGGAAAGCGCTCCAGGCTCTCCGGAAGCTTTTGGGGCTCGACGATGTCTTACCCCATGCCTTTGACACCCTCGAAAACCCTTGTTCCTCGCAGCCAGGGCCCTTAAACTTCCTAGCTGAGAAATCGACAAGGCCTTTGAACCCTTAACATCAAAATTGGTTTATCGTGCATTTTACGTCTGTGCTCAGCACACGCAGGCTGCAGCGATTCTGGGCTCAGTGCAGAGGCCGTGAGTTCAGGGAGTGGGTCCTTAGGTCTTAGGCTCGCTACTTGTAAGACTCAGGGGCTCTGCCTCGGGCAAAGCTTCAGGGTCGATCTGTCCATCTTGTGCGTTTGAACCTAAACCCAACGCGTGGACTCTAAGCCAAGAGCCTAAACTGAACCGACCCCTGGTGGCAGGACATTTCAGGTGGCTGAGTCCTCACTAGATTCGGGCACGGCCGTAGCTAACACGATGCATTCGATAAGGATGGACGGCGAGGTACTAGACTGTGACTGCCTCAGCCTAGTCCGGCGCTGCAGCATTCCCATTATGGACTCTAAACTCGCCGGTTGAGAGCTCCACAGGACTTCCCGTTTGTGGATATTTCCCGCGCTTTGGGACTCGGGGCTGGTTTGGGGTTGGATGTGCACGGACTGCCTCAAGATTTCAATGGCAGGGTGGGCTGCACATGTTCCCAGTCCCTGCCAGGACAAATTGCGCTTTGGTCGACAGCTGATTTCCTCCGCCGACTCACATCTGGAACGCTCTAATGCAACGAAGAGAAAGAATCAACGAATCTACCAGAGTTTCGCTTCTCAAATCTCACTTACTCCCACGGAGTCCCTGGTACAGAACAACCCGATAGCCCCAGTGCAAAACCCAAAACTCCATTAAACCCATCTTGTCTAGGCTCAAGACTCAGGCTTCACACTTTGAGGTTGAAACGAATGCGATTGTTATCTCTACGACTTTCACTTCTTGTCATTGTGCTGCCACCAGGCTCGTTGCAAGCACATGCGCACTTTTTTCGATATGTACACAGATAGACAGCTAGTTAAACAGATAGATAATGTAGATCGGTGTATACCGATAATGTTATCTGTGATTTTTTCTATCATGCTCTCTCGCTCTCTGTATATATTAAAGCTATACACACATATTTATTTGTACAAATGCTTCAACACCTGGTCGAACTTTACAGTATAACTCGATATACCAAATGTCAAGCACACATAAGCCTCGCTACCTACTGGGCTGTCAACAACGCAGCGAAGGCTTCCAGCCGTCAGCTGTACCTTGTGCTATTCACATGGCTTGACTACCGCGACCGAGCCAAAAGCTCACAGGTTCTAAGGGTTCAATGTCTGGGTTGCATGTTCTTGGCGCATTGAATTTTAAGGGTTGGGGTTTGGGGGGACAAAATAAGCATCGATTTGACTAAACAGCTGTTTAAGGTGCATAAAGCTTGCGGGCAACTTCTCAGAAAGGCTCTGCTCGGAGTCTCCCAGAGGCTGGGATTCTTCCCAGAGGGCATTTCGACGACTCCCACACAACGGCCAAGCCTGTCTTTCCGCTCTCTCCATTGGCCGACACATCCTACGCACAATGCAAAACACATGGTGCTGAGATGCAGATTTATGCGCGCGTCTGTCAAACAGCCAGGCTACAGGATTCACGGCTCCGACCACGATTCTTCGCCGAAGAAGCGCCTAAAACCAGCAGAACCTAACCAATATTTTTGACTGAAGTGCAAAGGCAATCCAAGGTGTCGACATGCGCAATGCTGGTGCCAGCTCTGCATCTTGACAGGGAAGCAGATGGCAATTGCTGATGGCCCCATAGCCGTGCAAAGTTTCTTTAGCCTCTTAGAAGAATCAGAAGGCGCTAGAAGGGATCCTGCCAAAAGCCCGCTCTTGCCTCGGGGGAGCTTTTCCCGAATACCAGGGCCTTAATAATGAGAATAGGGCTTTGGGGCATATTACAGCATAGTTATAACTTATAGCAAGGAGCCCCTGAGATATTAAACCCTGCATCAGAGGAGGAGAGCTGAAGAATGGCAGTCTGCGATCCCAACACCATCCGTCTGATTTGAGATTCCCATCTGCCTCCAAAAACTTGCGAGGAACAAACCTCCTGCCGAGGTTCCCGGGACACCCCGTAATGGGTTTAAGGCTTGGGCTTGGGATTCATGACCCGCGCAGTTGAGTCGTCCGCTCTTCCGTAGAAGCACAAAGGACTAAACGGATGAAACCAACATTTTCCGAGGGGCATGTCTAGTTTTGTATGTGGTTGGGTGGCAGAGGGGAATGGCAACTGCTTGTCAAAACTTCCGAACTTGGAAGGGAGTTGCCCTTAGACTTCATTGCCGACGATACAACGTCTGCGTCGCTAGCCATAATGAGAAGGCAGGACAAGTAATACATTGCTGTTTCTCCTTAGCTTTTTGAGAACCCCGATCGTCTTGAAGGTCTTTTTCATACGGAAAGCCCGAAAGAGAGGCAGGGGCACCGTTGGAACCAAGAAAGCCACACTCTCTCTTGTCGCCTGCCCCCCAAAGCATCCGTTCCGGTGGTGAACTGAATTGGATCAAGAGGTTCGTGGCTTTGATCAGGTCCCACGCACGGTCTTAATTGAGATGCGAATATGATAGCAGTAGTCCACAAGTAAAATCAGTAGGGATGCTTCGAAGCCTCGAAACCTGGGACGCTTCAACCTACATCTCATGAAATCAAGGCACCACAGTAGTGCACATGCCGGACATGTTGTTGCATCGGTTTTGACATTCTCAGGATCTCAGTCATTAGAGTTTGCAACCCGGGTTTGTGTTTACTCTCCCACGGCTGATGCGTGCAAGATTTCGCGATCTGGTTTGTCGACGACATTATCAGCCTCGTTGAAGCAGCAGTCCAAGCCCCACATACCCAACAACTATGCCAGTTCCCAAGACCAAACGTGCAACCCACTGTGGCGGGAGCACAGCTGCAAAACGTACATGACTTTGACGGGAAACGACTTAATGCAAGTCGAACCCCAACTGTGCACCGCAATGTGGAGGGAGCACGAACGTGCGGGACTGCCGAAGGAACCCGATGTCGGGAGGAGTCGGAGCACGATTTCGTTAGGCGGAAACGCATCCTGTGGCCAGGCGGTGCGCAGCCCAAAGCTCGCGCGGCACAACTGTGGCTGGAGCACGACTTCCAACTTTGGATTTTCGAGACCACACCACACTTTTTTGGGGAACTAGGCCCTGAACCGAAAATCAAAACCTCGAAACGGCTTTCTGGATCTTGACACATCTTAAGACTCACACATGGTGGGAGCTTCAGAGAAAGCGGAACAGATCGGACGCATCGGCATGAGTTCTACTCTCAATCCACATGACAACCTGGAGCATTGGGGGGCAAGCTGAATTCCGTGCATCCCTTGGCGGCGGATCTTGCAATCGCGGCCTGTGCTCCTGACAGTTTGACATTCCTCGGCTCTGAGGTTTCCTACACGGGTGGAGAGAGGCTGTCCTTCCGCGGCAGCAACCAGTAGTCACTCGAGACTATGTGGCTAATTACCTTTGAATGCGACCTTCTTGAACATGACTTTCGCCTCTTCGAAGTGCGACGAACTGGCATTCTTGTAGTTGCTAATGATTTGTCGTCATGTTTACATTGTTTACATAATACCAGTACTATTACTGTCGCCAGTATTACCATTTTCTTCATCTTTACTATCACCCCAGCATTCTTCTTATGATGGCGACGATGTCCACTGTAATGACCAGACTAAGTTCCAAAGGCTCGTGGAGGCATTGCCCTGCAGAACAGGGACAACACGCTAATGTCGACACATTCAATCCTACTGCATCAACCGTAACCATACTCCGAGAATGCCAGTAATGCTTTGCCTGTTGGGTTTCAGGGGGCCCGGTGTTTCAGTGTCAAATTTAAGGCAGCAGAGCGTTCTGAAATAATCCGAAGCGCTACATGCCACATGTTTGCCCCTAAAACTCTTAACTGCTCCCTGACTGCCAGGAGCTGAAGCTGTGGCGCAGACTTCTACCGGCACCCGGGGCGGCTTCTGATAACGCGAGTTTCCAAGTTGGCCCTCCTCAAATCATGCAGTAGCAGTCAAACAGACTTATCCTCCGAAACTGTTATAAGGGCTTTCGGCCTTACGTCTGGACAGCTGGGGCTTGGAACCCCGAGCCCTCCATGAACTTCGCTTTTGGAGTCAGAGGCGTGGAGTTTAGCGTTTCAGGTTGTAGCCCAGACTTCATTGTGTGCTGCTAGCCGCTTCGGTGCCACATGACATTCCAGAGCACGATTGAGACTGTGACAACTTCGCCGTTGTTGCAGTGGTTTCACTCCTCTTCCTCTGCTGGGTTAGCCGACGATGCAGCAGTGGTGATCATGACGGTCTCTGTGCAGTCATTTCCGCGAAGTCTTC